AGTATGAGGGTGAAGAGGAGTCAAGGCCGGAGTTCCTGTGCCCTTTTTGTGGCGAGGATTTTGATGTTGTTGGCCTTTGCTGTCATATTGATGAAGAACATGCTATTGAGGCTAAGAATGGGGTATAGTATATGCACAGCTCTTTATTTATTTCTTCTTTATTTTTCCTTTTAATCGAGCAATCATATTGGCATTGAGACATAGCTGAATTCATTGACTGGGCTATCATCTGAAAAGTTTTTTACACCTAAGACTGTCTTATATGCAGGAAAATGTTGAAGTTGGACTTTATTAATCTTCTAACTTCTATGCTGCATTTCTGTTTCTTGAAGAAGCGTTGTTTAATGGTTTATCTTATTTTTTCCATGTTTCCTGTGCTTGTAGGAGAGGGGGGGGATGTTAGGAAGATTCCCATGGCATTATGATAATACATACATATTGTCAATGATAGATGTTGCCTTCGACTTTTTGAAATGAGATCCTTTTCAATTTAGTGTGTATATAGTAGAGGCTTTGAACTTTTCAATTCAAAGCTTCAGGATAGTAGTTCCTTATTTCTAAAGGAAAAGAAGAAGAAGATAGCTTCTTGTTCTGTTGCCTTGTATATTAATTGTGGAGAGTATTAAGCTGTAAATGCTTTATTTGAGCATTAAGTGCATCAATACTACATGCTTACATCATAGTAGGTTTTCCTCCTGCTCTGGTTATTGCAATTAATATCCCAGTCAATGTTTAATTTTCCCAGAACTGTCTATAGTCTCAGTTCTTTTTTCTGGTTATTCAACGGTGGAGGTCGGTAACTCGACTAATCTAGCGCCAGCGGATACCAGCAACCTCCCACCTTTTCTTTTCCTCCTTTGAAACCATGTAATCTGCCTCATAGTTTTCATTGGGAAAAGGAAATGTTTAGGCTCTCGAGTGCTTTGGCTCATTTTTGGAGTTCTCTGATTCATGGCCATAGTTAAGGATAGGAAAGGTTTGAAATGGAGGTCTTTAACCTAGTGGAGAGGATCCTCCCACCTCCTACCCTAAGGTTGAGTATTCGAGTCACCAAGGGAGCAAAGTGGGAAAGGACCACTATTGAGTATTGACTCTTGAGCAGGGAGTTTGGGGGGTGGGCATACCATATTAAAAGAAAGAAAGTCAACTGTGACTTAATAGTCACTATCTCATTCCAAATAGACTTGAGAAGTACAACCTGAGGTGGTGCTTGGGCCAGCTTTGCTAGAAAACGTACACAGGAATATTAAGTTTTTTTCCTTCTTACCTTATGAGCTATAATCTCACTTTGTGTTTGTGGTAACACTCTGGTGTTAGAACTCCACCGCTCAAAAGAAATAGAAGTATAAACAGGAAAATCTGGGGAGTAGGGAAGCAATCTGATAATGAAAAGCTAGCCATATCATTCAGGGTATTGAGAGCAATTATCTTAACTTTGCCCATGTCCCAACACGACTTATCCTTGATTCCTTCCATGGCAATTGTTTCCGACTTCTTAGGTGCAAATAGAAAAAGATCATCACAAGTATGATTATTATTTTGTCTCTCGATATATGTTTACAGATGTATTATTTATGTCTAAATGCTTCAAGCTTGAGTTGCATATGTAGCTAGTGCCTGTGGCACTTCTCCTATTAAATAAATGTCAGTGAAAATATCTGGTTTATATGTCTGTGTTATCCGTTGACTTAGACAACACATATGTACATGCAGATATGCCCCGTTTGTGCTAAAAGGGTTGGAACGAATTTGGTTGGCCATATTACGCAGCAACATGGAAATATTCTGAAGGTATCCTTCTGGTGCTTTTTCTTTGTTTGCTCAACTGGGATTTGAATATGAAGCCTTTTCTGTGTTCAGAAGCTCTTGCCAGAACTATAAAGCATCTCTCTTCTGTCTGCTTTTAGTGCTAGACTCCATATAGTTATTATATTTCATTGACTGTGTAACAGGTTCAGCGCAAGAGACGATTTCGAAGGGGTGGACCTAATTCAACTCTTTCTATTATAAGAAAAGAGCTGAGAGAAGGAAGTCTACAATCCATTCTCAGGGGATCCTCCCACTTGGTTTCTTCCACCAGTGCAGATCCTGATCCCTTGTTATCTTCATTCATTAGCAGCTCAGCTTCGGTTGATGAACCTTCTGAAGTTCAACCTCTGTCTTCGATTGATGAGGCTTTAGCAGCATGCTCAACGCAAGAAAGCGCTGTTGAGAACTTGTCTGACAGGTATGTCAGCGTTTTATTACACTTCTATTATGTCTCCTTTTATCATTGCCTTTGATGCTGGGAAGTGGGAAGTGGATGAGGAAGTAGGGGTAAAAGAGGGAATGGAGTCCCAGCTGATGTAGTGCTTCTAATCGTACATGAGCGACCCTATTTCGGCTTCTTTCTTTTGTTTCTTTGTCCTTAAGTCATTGGGTTCCTTTTCTCAATGTTTTCGTAATGTTTAATTGCCTGTTTCATTGCTTAGCTGAGTTGCACATAAGTTTTCATTCTCTTTGTGGTATTTGGAACATATTTTTACTACTTAATGTGAAGTCAATTTTTAAGCTGCCATATTTTGATGTAATTTGGGACAAAAGTATATCCCTCTGTATGTTTATGATCCTTTTCCATTTTACCTGCTGTAGTCTCATTTTCCAATAATCATAGATACTGCAGTTGGAGACTTGCCAATGTTTAGAGAAGATATTAGTCTCAAGTTTCGTGTGTTCATCATTGTATAGTGTGCTAAATAGAATTGACACTCTTTAGACAAGGCATTGGTGATGAGTGGCATGCTCAGCAGATTCATAGGTCAATAACTTGTCGGATTTGAAATTGAACTGTTTCAATTATGTGTCTTACCATTCATGTTTGATGGCATGTTCTGGACCACAAGATTCAAAATATATTTTGGTACATTAAACACATCTTTAGTTTCAAACCAACAACAACAACAAACCCAGTGTAGTCCCATAAGCGGGAGTGTATGCGGACCTTACCCCTACCTCGAGGAGGTAGAGAGGCTATTTTCGGAAGAACCCTCGATTCGATTAATGAGCATCAGAGCAGGTAAAAGAAAAATACAAAAAGTAAAGAGGACATAAAAAAGAATAGGGAAAACATAACATAGCATTCAGATCTCAAGATTTAAAAATCTTCCTCTCTTTAACTCTGCGCCAGTCATACTAAGACAGAAAAAACGAATCGAAGGTGAGTACATGATATGCCTTAAAGGGAAAGATCCAGGTTTATCCTTTAGGCAACTTGTTCTTATATGGCTCTTTTGTGGACTTCAAATTTTCACTTTGGTCCTTTTCCTATTCACATGTCTGACATTATTAATCTTGAACTTGATGTTATTTTATTGAAACAGAAATATTCTGCCAACTCCACTATCTGAAGAAGACCAAGTAGAGAAGGCAAGGAAATGTGAGTTTGTGCAAGGGCTTCTGCTATCGACTTTCCTTGAAGATGACGACTTCTAATTTAACCAAGAGGATTTGCAATGTAGTAACTATTATATTATGTAACCTGCAATGTTGTAGCTCTGTGAAAGAAAGAGATACTGCTGCCAAATCTGTAGTAGTTATTAGGCCAATTGGAACTTATGGAGTCCTACTGTATGTAGTTCTATCTATATATGTATGTATATAATAATGAGTACCCTTTACTTTCCCTGTTGGACACTATGCAATATATTTCTAATTTAACCGCGTAAAGACGCAGTTGTGATTCACATTTAGTAGGGTAGGGAGGCCGTTTCTGATATAAGAAACTATGTGATTATTAAATACTACTTGTAAGGAGAAGAGATGAGGATAGTCCCTTGCTTCTCCAAAGTGCGACAACATCGACCTCCATACCTTCTTATCAAAGATCATGTTCTTATTTTTTTAATTTTTTTTGATAACCAAGAAATCCATCAGTGACTTGTTCTTTGGATCAATCACAACCTTCTAAACTTGGTGGATAATGGGCCCGCCCCTCTACCCTTCTCCACTTAAATACTGGGCTTTGCTTTGCATGATGTGGGGCTTGAACTAGGGGTGTGCACTATTTGGATTAAACTGAAAAATCAAACCGAATTCTAATTTGGATTGGTTTTTGGATTTTTGGTTTGGTTTCAGATTTAGAAAAATGAAAACCGAAAAACCAAAAAAAAAATGATTTTTATATATATATATATATATATATATATATATATATATATATATATATAATGTTTAGAATTAAGTTGGAGTTAATCACTTTTTGTCCCCTTTTAGTTATTTTCATTATGATTTAGTTTTTTTTTTTTATGTTTGGACATCTATAATTGATATACTTTAAGTATTGTGTTTTACGTTTTACTTGTGATTTATATTAAAAAGTATATTTAAGAAATTCAATAATATATATATATATATATATATAAAAAAAAAAAAAATTTGCAAATATAACTTTGTTATATTTATAATTATTGACATAACCGATTAACCGAACCGAAAAAATCCAAACCAAAAAGAGAAAAACCAACCCAAATCAAATTTATTTTGGTTTGGATTGGGTTACACTTCTTCAGAACCAAAAACCGAAAAAACCCAAACCGAAAAGTACAAAACCAAATAAAAAAACCGAATGCACACCCCTAGCTTGAACCTGAGACCTAAGCCACAAATCCTCCACCTTTTGCCACTTGAGCTAGGCCTTGGGGCAAGATCATATTCTTATTTGATTGATATTGTGTCATGTCTCATCTAATAACCTCCCTAATTCTTCTTTGGCTGTCTTATGCATCTTGAGAGTACAATTTATGACCACATATAGTCAAATATCACATGAGTAAAGAAGAATCCAAATCTTCAACTACTAAATAATTTGATTTTCATGTCAAATATCACATGGTAATGTGAACATACAGTGAAATAAATTTCAACATCTTAAACACTACAAATAAAGCTCAAGTTCATGCATTTGCATTTCATCAACAACTTTTATTAGTAAACATCTAAACAAAAAAGAAAAGAAAAAAAGAATGGGTGTAATCACTTGTGAAACAAATACTATTTCCTCAATTCCACCAGCAAAATTGTTTAAAGCTTCTGTTCTTGATGCTGACATTCTAATCCCTAAAATCCTTCCACAAGCCATCAAGAATGTTGAAATCCTCCATGGTGATGGTGGTGTTGGCACTATCAAGTTGATCACCTTCGGCGACGGTAAAATAAATAAATATATGTACATATATATAAGTTCGTATCGATTTTCTTAAATGAATAGTTGGTGTAGTAATAGTATTTTGCATTTTACTGACTTAAGATCTTGAATTCGCGTGAAAAATGAGTTGGACTTGGTTTTTGTTAAATTTTGACTAAAAGAATGTCAATTGTTGATCATTAAGAATACAAAAGAAAGAATTTTATTCTCTAGACAAAATAGAGACACGTTATCCACCAAGGATAGTGATGAGATGTATAAGATCCCTTCCTCCTCAATCAGAGACCTCATGCGTTACATGAACTCCAAAGCGAGTACCAGACATGTTACCTATGTCTTTAATTCTTTTCTCACCTATCTTGATAAAATAATAATTGTTGTGTTATTTTTTTAGGTAGCCAATTCAAGAATATGAAGCAAAGGGTTGATGGAGTTGACAAAGAGAACTACACATACAACTACACAATCATTGAAGGAGATGCTTTAATGGATGTTCTTGAATCAATTTCTTATAAAATTAAAATTGAACCATATGAAAATGGAGGGTCAATTTGCAAGAACACTAGCACTTATCACACTAAGGGTGATGTTCAAATCAAAGAAGAGGACATTAAGGCTGGCAAAGAGAAGGCAATTGGACTATTCAAGGCTATTGAGGCTTACCTCCTAGCAAATCCTGATGCTTATTAATTTATGTAGTTAGAGGCGGATCTGGTGCGGGTTCAGTTGGTTCATATGCAAACTATTTTATTTTTACCTAAATTGCGTATTCAAAGATGGATCTAGTGCGGATTTCAATGAGTTAATTTGAAAACTACTGATTTTGACCTGAATTGCGTTCTCAAAGTTAAGATTCACTTAATTTGAACCTACTTAATTTAGATCTTGCATTCGCCTCTGATTGTCAAAAAGTAAAAAGAGTGTATTTTCATTGGTGTCTTTTAATTTCTTGTATTGTGTGGTGGTCAATTTTTATCTTTTTTTGTTGTTGTTTACTTGAAATTTGCCAAGGAATAAAACTCATGTTTGTTGTCTATGAACAAGTATTGGCTGATTATTTTTTATTTTCTACTTCTTAATATCAATAAGACTAATGAATTTCCAATGATAATAATCATAATATTCAGAAGACAAAGAATAGTTCAATAAAAAATTTAAGTTATATATATATTAATGATTGTAAAATAATAATTATATTATTAGAGTAATTTCACTTATATTTGAGAGATTTATAGGGGAGCCACCTTTGTCTAAGGAGGTATCAAAAGTCATTCTTTTTATCAAAAAATTATACTACTATATATGTCAAAAAGTCATTCTTTTAACTTTTAAATTTTTTAGTTTTTTTAATAAAACTTTTGACTTCGTCACTATATTTACTCAACCTCTAAGGAAAATGTCCACATGTTTAGTTGAAAAAACATTATTGTTTGTGACACACATTCAAGATCCGTCACTAGAAGTCATGGTGGAATAATAAGTATTCATTCATCTTTAATTAAACGTCTGAGTATATAGACGTCTTTGATATGTAACACTTTTAGTTACCCTTAAAATGAAACCTTCCAACGCAAATTTAAATTAATCAAGCCCTAAAACAGATACATATAAGACATATTCAAGAATCAAGATCATATATATATATATACTTTTATATATTTTGTTATATCTTCGACACGTCTCCTCACGTGCAAGCCTAATTCTTGTTTCATGGCCAAGCATGTAGATTTCGTGTTTTTTCGAACACTTTTTAAGTCAACATTTTGCTTGTGTTGAGAGAATGATGAATGTTGATGTTAGTTCATATCATCAAAAGATTATAAGCCATCAATTTTCCAAGAATGACTATTCTTTTCATTTTGTGTTTGGACAAAACCAAACAAGTGTACATTCAGAAAGGCATATGAAATTCCATCATATTCAACATGATACTTTGATAGACCTATTAGCATTATCGCGCTTTTCCTGTCGAAAAACACTCACTTTTGATTGAGCAGACGTTTGTCAATACAGACTACAAGTCAATGCAGTTTATTTGTGAATGCAAATCACAAACATTTCTGATATACAACCTAATATGGAGTTGGTCAGCAAAATTGCTTGTCATTCGATCAGCATCAGACTCAACCGCTATATTGTTCTTTTAACAACTCTGGAGGCTCTTCTTCCATGATTCCAGAACCACTTGTTGACAAGTACTCGCGTATTGTAGTTCTACGGTCACCAAGGAAGGTATGATCAAGAAAGTTGTCGTAGGCTAGATCACAAAGATTTTGAGCGGCCAGGACACTACAAAATCACAATGTTCAAGCAGGTATGAAAATCCAAATGATCACAGGACTAAGAGATTTGAGGAAACAAGTTTCGGAAATGAATATGGTTTGCACTAATAAGTACTCGATGGAACTGACCAATGACGGAGATAGACACGGCAGGGGAATATATCATCTCGCCATATCTTGTTAATATTGTACCGTCCATACCGCTGGAAGAAGATGTCTTTATCACCTAATGATAAAATAGAAGATATGAAACTGTAACATACACACAGAAGGTAACATATGATACATGAAGCAGCATGAACTTGAGAGAGAAGCATACAAAGAAAAACAAAAGACTGAATCATCAGTTATTTCATTTTCGGTTGAAGTTTTTCCCATTTTCTTATTGTTTGTGTTAAAAAGATAGCTAGAAAATCAGGCTGTATTACTGTATTACTCGCTATCTTTCCAAGTGATAGGAAAATTACCTTTGCATCTATTTTTCAGATACTCCTCGTCACTATAACGGGCACAAACAACCTGCATTAAGAGATAACACAAATATGGATCAGGAAGACAAATTATTGGTTCACCAGAGGTACAAAAGGCCGAGCAGTCTCAGGGTGCTTACAGCTGGATTGATGTAAAACAATTCATTTAGTGTTTCCGGGATTACCTAAACACAAAAAAGTTACTGATATTAGTTACATGAATTGAAGTTACATTTAATTTTATACAGTTAGAGAAAGGCAAGAGAAGGAAGGATTATCGAAGGCCTTACAGCTAAAAACCGAAACTCATGCTCTCTTTCAATAAATGCTGGAATCTGGCCTTTACAGAGAAGAAGTTAGAGATCAGAAGTAATCATGTCGAGATCTCCACTTAAAATGTACAATTGTTTTTAATAGGTAAGTAACCAACTCAAAATGGATAATTCGTAAGACGTTACCTCTGATCTCTGAATCTCAAAGATAGTAACTATAAGAGTTTCCCCTTCACAGGGCTCCACACTCAAGCTTGATATTTCCTGGAAATAGAGAAACATTCCACGCAATAGAAGTCAGTCCTAAACAAATATTTGAGAGTAATTCAAAAGGCAGCAATAATTTATTCACAATGACGGTTTTCCTTATACCTCAAATGCACAATAACGAAAATCAAGTTAATCTAACTCTTTCATTTCGAAGAGGTTTATTAAGATTTTCAACAAAATGACAACCAGGGCTGACACTTCTCATTTTAAACAGAGAGTTAAGCCAACCATGCATTCACTTTTATTTTAGATAAATATGGAGTTCGAACCAACTTGCACATATCTCGACAAATCCACTTGATACCTGCTACCTCTCTCCAATAGAAGTGTCGGTAACTCTATCCACCACGACATAGAAAAGAAATCACTTAACTTTTCCTAATTTCACATGGTCTGCTAGACTTATACCATTTTCTCATTTCCAGTTTTCTCTCCTTCTGAATTTCCCCAAGAATTTATCCTCCTTCCCGATTCCAAAAGAGTGACTTCAAATGATTATAGCAGAGACCGTTCTAATGTCAGTTTGTTTCACCTTTCCAATGCCAGAAAGTTTCTACTGATAAGTAGTAATGTAAAAACAAGAAAAGTTAGTAACTTTACAGAGATTGTGATTGAGCAATTCCGTTTAATCATAATTTTCTTTCATCTTTCTATTATCCAATTAATATATCAAGAGTCAAGCATGCAGAGCCATTTTTTTGCTTTGTTTCCTTTATTCTCTGCACCTTCTTAGCAAACCAAACAATATTAAAGATATGCATTTTTAGTAAATGTAAGGCACCTTGGTTTCAGGTTTAGCTATTCCACGCTCGAAGAAAATAGGCGCCACGTGAGCAAACACTCTCCGAAATCCACTCAATTTCGCCACTCTGAAGTTGATCAGATCCGGAAATGTACTCCGAGCACTCCTCTCTGTTCTACCAACAACAATACAACATCAAAATGACAGATTATAGCACAACTTGCTTGTTTTGCACTTTCCAAGTTAATTTGACTAAGCATGAACTACATTAATTCCCAAAATATTTGTCACCTTAGGCTTCTCCAGAGTTAATTTGACTAATCTTCAGAGCTGAGCTAGATTAGATCAATTCAACTTAAAAATACAAAAATTATACTAAAAGTACTATAAATTGCAATTTTCTCATATCAATAGAGTTAACATTGGCCAAAAGTTCATGCAGTTTGAATCTCGATAAATGAAACATGACAAGTATTTTCGGACGGAAGGATTAAAAATTAAGATATTTAAAAAGTACACAAAGTATAGAGTATAAAATTGCAATTCTGCAATATTCTCCAAAAATCAAAGTTCAGGATAAATGTATAATCTAATTTTAACCTGAGAGGAGAGAACCGAAGCCACAAACGGTGATAAGTCCATCGGATGATACAATTCGATCAAAATCAGATTCATCGGCAAGTTCCAACGGAAATTTCAGCTCATCGCCATCGACGGGGTAATCGGCGGCGGAGGCGGAAGGCATGGTGAATTTTCGCGGGAAAAAGTAATATCTCCGGCGAGAAAAAGAGAAGCGGAGTGAACGAGGAGGATGAGTGGCGGAGGCGACATAAGTAGGTCCTAAGCGCGTGTAGACACGCGCGTACGGCAGCGATGGAAGACCTACCGATACAGAAGGAGTAGAATGAGTGGTCATGTGTATCACGTGAATATTGTGAGAAAGATGACTCATTTTTTTTTTATATATATCTACAAAATGTGGTTAAATGCATAATAAAGTAGGTATTATTTCAATATCTTTTGGACCCGTTCGGACATGATTTGAAATTGCGTTAATTTGAAGTTGAAATTTCATTTTAACATGTTTTTTGATACTACCAAATGAATAAACTATAGTTTATACCTAAAGTATTAGAATGTTTTAAGGTGTCGCATTAATAAATGGAGAACTTACATAAATCACATTAGTTTATGAGTTAATTACTTAGATATACTTTAATTTGCAATATTATATCTCTTTCTAGATTTTAGTGTGTCCAGATAATATTATATATCTCTCCGGATTTTGGTGTGTTCAGATACTTTCAGATACATCTAGATACATGTATCTAGAGATATATGAGGTAAAAATTAGGTGTAATTTGTTTTAGACACATTGTATCTAAATGGATTTGTATATAGCTGAGATACATAACAAATCTTGTTCGCTTCTTTTCCATATCGCTCAACACTCTCCTATGTATCTGATATCAAAGATATATGTGAATCACACTAGATACATATAGATACTGTATTTGGTGTGTATATAGTGCGATTTGCATGTATCTGAGATACTTAACGAATCTCACTTGCCCTCCTCCCCATCTCGCTCACCTCTCTCCCTATTTTATGTATTTGGTAGCAAAAATACATGTATCTTAAAATTATTATTTTTCTCAATATATAGTAGGAAACTCTTATATTTTTTAAAATTCTATTCAGCATGATTCTTCTCTTCTTTTCTTTCTTTTTTTTTTTTTGGCAAAATTTGAATAATGAGTTTTTTTTTTTTTACCAAATATATACCTATTTATGGTCAAGTTTTACATTTTAAAAAAATAAAATTAAAATCACAATTTGAAATCCTACTTATTCGCGAATTTGAGATTTGAAATTGAAATTAAAATTAAAATTAAAATTTTAGGCAGATTTTATAACAAATGATTATTTTAAATTAAACCTTTAAATTGAGGTTCCAAATTTTATGACCAAACATTTGCTTAATATTTTTCAATCGCGTTTAATTATTGTGAATTCATTCAACAATTATATATATAGATTGGGCCTACAAAAGATTCAGAAATGTAGAATAAATTACATTCAAGAGGAGAGGAAACTTTAAATAGAAGAATTAAAGTATAATATTTTTGTAGAGCAACTCCAACTCCAAAACTTAAAACTAGTCAAAAATTACTATAAATCACATTTATATGAATATGATTATTAGTCAGATTTGACTAAATACGATTTATAAGTTACACTAATTGAATATGACTCATCCAACAAATGTGATTGATAAGTTGCACCGCACATATGTATGCAATTTATAAGCCACACATGATAAATATAGTTTATAAGTTACACGCGATAGAATGCGACATAAATAAATAAGTTTGGTTGATATTTTCTTTAATCTAAAAAAATGATTTAAAGCAGTGTCATTTAATAACTAAAAACTATAGTCACTGGTTTAGAAACAAACAACAAATAAATCCCAAAAAAAGAGGTTAAAAAGAAATAAATTAGTGGAGTAAAAAAAAAATTAATTGGAAAAATTGAAAAATTCCAACTATAAGTACTGGTAAACCTGAATTCAATCCTAACCAAATAAACAAACAAATTATTTTCCACAAATTACTTAACAGATTAACTGATAATTCTCTTATTTCTTATCTCTCCCTATTATAAATACATACCACATTTCTAAATTACGAGTTTAACTTCTGTATACTGGCAGAGCCCAGGGGAACACAAAAATTCGTTAAAAATCCCCACATGCTCTGCTTTGAATTATTGAAGGAAAAAAAACTATCTATTCTTTATTTTAAAAAATCTCAAAAAAATTAAAATTTAAAATGGCAGAGGCCAGTAAAAAGAAAATAGTAATTGCTGGAATTGCTTCAATTCTTCTAGTTGCTTGTGTTGTTGGTGCTGCCGTTACGTTTACAAAAAAAAATGATGATTCAACCTCTAATGGGGGCGAAATTTCGAGTTCTAGCAAATCCGTACAAGCCATGTGTCAACCTACGCAATATAAAGAAGCATGCGAAAAATCACTTGGATCGGCTAAAAATACTAGTGATCCAAAAGAGTTGATTAAAACCGCATTTGATAATACTATGACTGAAATTTCAAATTCAATTAAAAATTCAGCTCCATTTAAGGAAGCTGCAAATGATCCAAGGACTAAGAATGCTTTAAGAGTTTGTGATGAAGTTCTTGACCGTTCGATCGAAGAGATCAAGAGATCTTTTTCACAAATTGATAGTAATGACCTTAATAAATTGATTAAAGAGTATATCTATGATGTTAGGTCCTGGCTTAGCTCTGCTGTTACATTTGAAGAGACTTGTATAGATGCATTCGCTAACACAACTGGTGATACTGGTGAGAAAATGAAGAGTATCTTGAAGACCGCTAGCGAGTTGTCAAGTGTTGCACTTGATATTGTTAGTAGTTTTGAGGAACAAATGACTGGGTTGCAAGGCCTAGGTATCGCTAACAGACGATTGTTGGTCGCGGAAGCAGGTAATGTTAAGGTAGATTTTAAAAAAAATGAATGAGGGTGGAGGGTGCTTGTTAGGTAGAGTTGGGTATGGGGTCGCTATAATTAGCTAGTGTGACCCTTTCTACACCGGTTGACATTGCCTTTTGAGACGCTTAAAAAATTTTGAAATGAAAAATTATCCTCATTAAAAAAATGAAAGTGAGTGAAGGATACTTTTGAACTAGAGTTGGGTGTAGGGTCGCTGTAGTTGCATGGTTGAACACCTGATTTTACTATTTTATACCCTTAAAAAAAGGTTAAGTAAAAAAAGAGAGAAATGAACCATCTATGAGAGAGGTTGTCTTCTCTCAGGCTAGTGGTCTTCTAGTTCTAGTCGACTCTCTATAATTAGGTTCCTTCTTTTTCCGGCTCCACTCACTCATCTACGTCAGAGTCACACGGCATATAATCGAAAGATCTTTTTATGTGATTTATGTTTTTCTATTTCTATGACCAAGATTGCTTTATCGACTAAGAATCATAGAAGGTTGAAATTATGAAATTTAAATTCTGAATCTGTCTTTACAGGCAACCGACGACTCCTTCAAATTGCAACCCTCAAGCCCAATGTTGTGGTGGCTCAAGATGGTAGTGGACAACACAAATCAATCAATGAAGCTCTTAAAACAGTTCCCCCAAACAATGCTCAACCCTATGTCATCTTCATCAAGGCTGGTATTTACAATGAAAATGTTGAAGTTGCCAATACAATGACCAATGTTGTTTTCATTGGTGAAGGCTCAAATAAGACCAAAATTACTGGCAACAAAAATTATCTTGATGGCCTCCCAATCTTCCTTACTGCCACTGTTTGTAAGTATTGAATCATTTGTCATTATATGTACATACATATAACAAACATCAAAACTTAGATCTCGAGCCTAATTCAACTCAAAAGTTAGCTCATGACGTAACAATTGCTTTAGACCATATAGGCATAGGTAGAATTAGTAAAAATTATATGTGTCTGGATCAATTTTTGAAGAAAAAAAAGTAGTGTTTGAAAATTCGTTGAAACAATGTCCTGGATTTCGAACTTAAACAAGTGAGAAATCCAAAATACTGATATTGATGGATTCAAAAAAATTGGATATTTCTCTACGACTTTTGACTTTTGTGTCTATTTTTCAATTACAAACCCGAAAAATGGTTATTATTTTAGAGTTTTATGACAGTGACAAGGGGGTTTAATTGAACCTTTTAATATAAATTTCTGACTATGTCACTGTATACAATTTTTGTAGCAATCTCTGGACAGGGATTCATGGCTAAGGATATTGGATTCGAGAACTCAGCAGGACCTTTGAAAAAAGAAGCTGTTGCACTCCGTGTTTCAGCTGAAATGATAGTATTTCAGAACTGTCAAATTGATGGTTACCAATCAACACTTATGGCTCATGTTGGCAGACAATTCTATCGCGATTGTACTATCTCAGGAACCATAGATTTCATCTTTGGAGATGCGGTGGCTGTGTTCCAGAACTGTAAGATAATTGCGAGAAAACCTGAGGAGATGCAGACACAGGCTATCACAATCGCAGCTCAGGAAAGGATGCAACCATTCGGAACAGGTCAGTGATATATCTAAGTTCAATGAATTAAATACCCTTCATTAAAAAATTACAACTATGTAAGTATGATAAAAAAAGGTACAATTTTAAGAGTTGTTGCGATGTGTAGGGGTGAATATAGTTTTCACCCCTAAGAGGTGTTACCTGATACTTTGCCAAAACAAAATATGTTTATTTGTATAGATAATGTTGATCAAAATGAAAATATCATATATAAATCTAAATAATGAGACATTTCATTACATAGCCTTTGATCATATGATCAGGAGGTCACAAGTTCTAGGAGTGAATGTATAGTGTAGGCTATCGATTTGATCTAATCAAGTAGCTTTAGCTCAGAATGTGTATATGTGTTTAAGAAATCTACTAAAGTTTAAAATGCCCCCTGAGCCCATAAAGTTCAAATCGTGCACTGGACAGATTCAAGCTATAGGTAAAAGTCTCATTGGAAAATACATCATAAATTGCATAAAATAGACACAATGTGGTTCATTTTTTCCTAGACATTGTGAACATCGGGAGCTTAGTGCACTATGCTGTCATTTGTATTAGTTTTTGAATCCCTTTACTTAAGCAATTTTTTTTTTTAATTTACAAGTTGAATTATCTCGTTAGAAATTCTAACTCTGTCACTGCCTTTGAACAGGTGCAATAGTCATGCAAAACTGCACGATCACAGCTGAGCCAGCTCTGGTCGCCATCAACCCACCACGCAACAAGGCGTTCCTTGGACGACCAGGGAAGATGTACTCAAGGACTATAGTGATGCAATCTCAAATTGATGGATTCATTGAACCTGAAGGATGGACTCCATTTGCTGGTACCTTTGGGCTCGAGACTTTATATTTTGTTGAGTATCAAAATAGGGGTCCAGGTGCAAATACTGATAAAAGAGTAACTTGGAAGAATTACATTAAGAACCCTCCACAAGATGTTATTTCTAAATTTGCCCCAGGAGTTGTACTTAAAGGTGGCGATAATACTGATGGATGGGTTAAGAAAACTGGTGTCCCATATGAACCAGGGATGATGAAGATGTAAAAAAGTTTGTATATCTTCAATAAATAATAATAAAAAAACAATTATCTTCATTTTTGTAGATCTTATTGTGTTATCTTACACTTATAATTACTTCTTGGGCATGTGAAATGAAAATAATAATAATAGTATTTTGGAGTATTTTTTTTAAAGTGGTTTAATATTTGGATTAACTATTTTTTTTTTGGTTAGACATATAAGTTATATTCAAAAAACATATAAAATATACTTATATTCTGTTTAGCGAAACTTTCAAAGTCTGTTTGTTTTGATTTTTTTTTTTTTTTAAAGATTAGAAGTGTGTATGGTTGGTATACAATTTAAAAGATATTATTGTGTGTGCATATATATGGATAAATTCCAAAGTAAACACCAAAAGAGCATAGCGTAAGGGATAATAGCGCAAGGTGCAAATGGTGAAGATAATATAGGATGGTTTGACACTCCTCACCAACTTTCTTTCTTTTGCCTTTATGCAAGACAATTATCGTGGCGCTGAAGAGGAAAGCGTGTATGTATTACTATCGACCATACAATAATGTCACTATAAAATTAGAGTGTAAATGAATTTTTAGAACAAATTTACAACAACAATAACAACATACTCAGAGTAATCTCACAAAAATAGAGTCCAAAGAGACTCAAATGTACAAAAACCTTACCACTACTTTGGGCCAATGACATGATCCAATAAACTTCAAATGGGCTTTCTTTTGTCCATCTCATTTCTTCAACATAAGGCCCACATACATATATACCTTGGAGCGGGAAAAACATCACTCCAAAAATTTGAAACGCAGCTAAACGACGTCGCACTGTAGTTTGCTATAAACCCCTTTTCCCAAAAAATTAGGGCTTTCAATTTTGATTCAACAATTCACATTTTGTTGAATTTAGAGCTTTTTTTTGGGTTTGTGTAATGGATGGTGAGTTTTGTACTCATAGAAGATGAATAACAGTCGAGAAGAAGCGAATTGCTCCGGCGCAGACGAGGAAAACGCGAAGTTTCATACAGTTCAGCCACTTCGGGATTTGGAATCGAATTGGGGTGTTGATTTAGCTAAAAATCTTGAGGAGTATTTGCTCAAAATTTGCTCGGGTGAAATTACTAGTAAAAATTATGATGATGGGCATCACCTTTCTGTGAATTTTGCTGAAGGTAGGTAAAAATTTTCATCTTTGTGTGTACATACTCCTCCACTTTGTACATTAATCACATTTCACTTACTTTTGTGTAGCAGAAATAAGATCTCGTTTGGCTATAGATTTTGAAGTTGAAATTTGAAAATTTTAATTGTTAAAGTTGTGATTTTTTGAACATGAATTCTACCTGGAAAATGTTTGAATTTTTGTTAGTGGTAGTGAAATTTCTCCCCAAAAATGGTCTTGGAGAATATTTTGGAGATAGAATTCTAGAATTTGATCAGAAAAATGTTTTTATTTTTTTTGTAAAATAATTTTCCCCATGCCAGGTAATTTTTGATGTTTCAAAAAGGAGGTTTTGGGTTTGTGTGGTTTGAAAAATGTGTACTTGTAATTCCATTGATGAGATGTTTTTTTGGATGTGTAGCTGCTTTGCTGCTTCAGGGGTCTGTTCAGGTTTACAGCAGGAAGGTGGAGTATCTGTATTCTCTTGTAGTGCATGCTTTGGAATTCATCACCAAGAAGAGGTTTTTTTTCAGCTTTTACTGTTTATTTTTGTTTATTCCTTGAGATTTGTAAAGGCGTCTCTGGTTGGAGATAAAGTCTAATTATTTGCTTAATTAGAGGCTAGGTTACAATTTATTCAACTTTCTCTTGTTCTGTAAATGGATGAAACAATGTTCAGTCTTAGTTACCTCTGCTTGTCTTCAACATGTATTATCACGTCGGTAGCTGTACATCTCAGGCCATTCACCTGTGATGTACAAGGGTTTGAATATATGTTTTTCCAGGAAATGAATTCTAAAGCTCCTTTCTTTTCTTGGAAAGCTGTTGTTCTTTTTTTTTTCTTTTGGTTTCTCTCTAAATTTGTTCAGTGCACTAGCCTGTGAAGATGGTTTTGATGTAATTTTGGTCCTCTAGAGAAATGATGCTGCTAATTTTAAGCAACTTCTGCAACTTAACATTAGATGAAAGCTTGTATGTAAAGGTTGTTAAATGTTGCACTTTGTTGATTGAGTTTTTATCCATTATCAAGCAGTTCTTTGTACAATCTGACCCTGCTTGTCTTTGTCTTCACCTAGTTAAATGGTGTGAATAGTATTCTGGTAATGACAGTTAGAGCTTTTGGATATTAATACTAATTGTTTCTAAGATAGCTACCCTTTCCTACTCTGGTGTATGTTGGATTGGAATACCTACTGGGAGATAATCCTTTGGAAAATGTTGTATTGATAGATGTCAACAATTACATGTAGATGTTGACAATGTCCTAGAACCACACCACATACTTTTGGTCTAGTTGTGGGTTATTTCTCTTAGGTATTGATCAGAAGTTCATAATTTTTCTGGAGACCAGGTTAGAAAAGCCACAAGTAAACAACTATAACATTAACTACATCCCAGTTCCAGTTTAGTTGGGTCAACTATTCGAATCCTCCATATCCATACCCATTTCATCCCACTATTCAATAATTTTTTGTTCAGACAAATTATGGATTCTAGGCTCTGTATATTTCCTACATGATATTCAAATTTCTAGACAAACTGAGAAGGCTCATTACAAACACCAGCCATAATGTATGTAATAGCCTTGGTCATAAAAAAAATGTATGTAATACCTCTCTCATGGTTTGGGACTTTGAGGAGCATGGAAATTATGATATGATTTATGAGAATGAAACTTCACACACACCCAATCACCCACTCACTGCTGAAGACACCAACTCAGGATTATAATTTTTTTTGAAGCTTTTATTCTGCTTGTAAACTTTAGTTATCTAAGCATGGACCATGGAGAGCTAGGGCCTTTACACAGTCAATGATTTCTGATTGACCAGGTTATTTTGTAGAGAGGTTGTTATTCTTTTTCTTTCTGAAAAGAAAGTGGATTGGTCTTGTCATTGCAGTGTTGTGGCTAAGGTCAGTAATGTCTACTTCAAGCAATAATGTTATCCCTTGGTCCATCAGAATGAATGAGAGTGTAGCGTATGGTGCTCTGCTTCACTCTTTCTTTCTTCGTTTGACTTTGTACCAGAGTTAAGTGAGTCTAGTGTGTGCTGCACACACTTGCGCCTCGACAATTTCTGCCTTTGAAGGTGCTGTGTTTTCTTAAGGTGAAGGGAGGAAGATTATTGGAAAGAGTCTTGTTATAAGAATATTTTTAAACATATGTTGTTTATAATGAAGGTTAAGCAAGTTACACTCTCTGAGTACTGATTATTTCCAATTTAGAAGTTGTTTTTCTCATTTTATCCAGGAAAATGAATCTTCTCATGAACATTATATAAGTCATGGGATTCTTATTTATAGCTAGTTATAAAAATATTTTTATTTATGTTGCGTAACTTGATGTTAAAGAATTGTTCATCAGCTAAAAGACTCACATACTTTATTTAAATAGGGGACTGAGTCTGTACTTGAAGAGGTCTAGGAGAACAAAATTCCATTTTTTATTTCGCATTTTCTTCTGAATTCTCTAGGAATTTCAACAATTTGACAAAGTTCAAGAAAATACTGTGTGAGTAAAAGTAACCATGGGTCATTTTGGGAAGTTAGAGTTTCTCAACCTTCCTGATTTGGAGAAGATTGCATTTTCCTTCTTGAGATCATGCTGATTGGTTCTCAACTTTCCTGATCTGGAGAAGATTGCATTTTCCTGGATGAGACCATGACGATTGGTTCACAAGTATTACGTCAGCAAGAAAAATTCTGGTGGGGCATCCAAGGCAGCTATATGTCATGTAAAATATGGCAGCCTACTGCTTTTGTTTTGGGTTTCTATCATGGTGATTATTGACCCGAAAGTAAAATCTGATGAGATACATCTCCATTTCTAAAAGTCTTTACATTTCCTTAAGTTATTAACTTAAAAGATATGTTTGGCTAACTTTTTCGCATAAATACTTTTGGGACAAACAAGGAATATATTATTGTTTGGCTTTTGGAAAAAGTAATTCACGTTAGTGTTAGAAATATTTAATTTTAGAAACAAACAAGGATTTGGGTGGAGTCGTCTTTGTTAGGGAGCGCTTTTACCCCCCCCCCCCCCCCACCCCCCAATGTGGGACTTCCCGGCGCAAATTAGGATTTAGTCGAACTCCAATGTGGGTATCAGACACCGAATGGGAAACCAAAAAAAAAAAGATTTAGTTTTAGGCACTCTGCCAAACACATGAATGTATGTACATAAATGTTGTTGAGCTTACATTATAGCTTCTGCTAAAAATCGTATGGAAATGCTTGGTGTTTCCGCTGTTGCTTTTTCCACTCGGTTTTAAAGCTCATAAGTGTTTACAATAACATACCTGGTGGAATTCCACGAGTGGGATCTGGGGAGGGTTGACTGTACGCAAACATTACCACTATCTCGTGGTGATAGTGAGATTGTTTCTAAAATACCCTCGACTCAAGTGTAGTAAATCAAAGTACAAAGAGTAAGAAAACACGGGGAAAAACATCGGAACTAACAAGGAAAGTAGTGCAAATCCTACTAGAAAGGAACTAGAACAACAAAATAGTGCGACATTTGAAACACAATAAACAACAGACTGTGATAGAAATCAAAAGCATAAAGCTCATAAGTGTCTATTTAGCTAAAGGACAAATTATAGACAAAATGGTTAAATTTTCCACTTGAGTTTCCTTGTTAATATTGACAGTGCAATCTTGTAAATCATCCTTTATAAGTTATTCCAATAGCGTATGACCAACATTCCATTTTAAAAATCCAATTGATCTGATATATTATACCATGTTTGGCATGGAAATGCCTCATGTTAGAGATGGGAAAAGATATCGAATGCACCCTTAAGATGTCTTGGCACGTCAAATACACACGTCAACTAATCAAGCGACCTAATTCACTCCTAACCTTGTTCAATATTGTAAATAAATGAATCTTGGGACTTACTCAACCCTAAAAGCTAGCTCATAGGGCGAGGGTTGTCCAAGTTCATATAAGGAGACCATTTGCTCATCCCTTTTCCGACGTGAAACTCTTTAACACTTCCTAACGCGCTTAGACCTTATTAATTGGAGCGTGAACAATAAAACATGGCGGCCCAACATTGGTGAACAGAGAGTCTGGCTCTGATACCTTGTAAAGAAATATGAGGCTTAACTCAATTGCAAAAGTTAGCTCATAGGGTGAGGATTGTTCAAGTCCACATAAGGAAACCATTTGCTCATCCTTTCTCCAATGTGGGACTTCTTAATATATGTGATATTATTACCACCTTAGAAGGTGACATGATAGAGAAAGTGCATTCACCTCCCTTAAAATGCGTGAGAAGAAAAAAAAGAATTGTAAGATGACAAAATTGCACACGTGACACTCTTTTATTGGTCATTATATAACTAAGTATTCTTAATCTTCTTAATATAGTAATTTCTAACACATTAATTATATTAGATTCTCTTTCTTATTTATTCTTTTTATTTGTGAGGCCCACTTTCTTTAAAGTTTTCCCTTTTCCTCCCTTTTGGATTCTTCTTCCGCCGTTCATCGGCCCTGACATTTCTTCACTCAATCCCTCACGAAAGCATCTCCAACCCTCCCTTTGAAACTTCAAAAGAGGAACTTTAAGGAAGAAATGGAAAAGATGAAGACTTCCATCAGAAAGTTCATGATTTCTCTCCATAAAGTTCATGATTTTTCTGCTCAAGCTCATCGGAGAACCCACCGGGAAAATTCATTAAGGTACACCACAACTCCTACTGAAAACCTCGAGATTTCCGTGCTTAAAATCCATGATGTTTTTGTCTAAACTTATTGAAAATCCATCGGAGAAGACGATTACTCTCTCTGTCTGCTCTATTCTCGCCGTAGCACCTCCTACGGCCACTGAAATGCCATTCAGTAGCAAGCCACCAATATCAATTTTGATTATACAAAGAATACCAATGAAATGCTTGATTTTCATCTGTAATTTTCAAGATTTTTGAAGAATTTTAGCAGTCTTACAGATCTGAAAATTTCTATGTACTTCACACGCAACAATGGCATTACCCCTGCCTATTGACGCTCCACCGCCAACAACCTCTATACTCCATAGCCGTCTTACTGTTCTTTGTTATTCTCTTCAGATTTCCTTTTTCCTTCAATCTATCAATGATGGAGACGAAAGAAGAAGGGATTTGAAAGAGGGAAATATGCTATGGTGGAGGAGGAAGAAGAAAAGTGTTTTGAATAAAAAGGAAATATTAAGGGAAAAAGGTAATGAAAAATTGAAAATGATATTATACACACGCAAAATCTAAGATTGTCTTAGGAGGGTGGTAATAATATCACATCGAACAAGGTTAGGGGTGTATTAGGTCACCTGTTTAGTTGAAGTGTGTATTCAACATATCTGGTCAACTTTAGGGTACATTTGATGTCTTCTCCTGTTAGAGATTAAGGCCTTCTTGGACATACATATAAAGTTGAGGTTTGAAGAAATATTTGTGCAAGTCAAAATACCTCTTGATTTCTTCTTCTAAAATCTAAAAAACTTGAAGTTGTTGACACTCTATCCTTTTAGGTCTATTGTATTATAGAAACGGTTAATTGCCACTCGAACTTCTTACTAATCCTGAAAGGCAGTGCCCTCTTGTAAAATTCTGTTTTCTAAATTTTCAGTAGTTTTTTTTAACTATGTATAATTTGAAAGCCCACCAGAGTCTTGAGGCCAAGCTACCGTGAAGAAGATGATCAACATCTTCACCTGTCTCCTTGCATAAGTAACACCAACTGATACAAACAACCTTCCTTTTCCTAAGATTATCCGTCGTCAAAATTACCCCTCTAGCAACTAACAACTATATGTTGCTTTACCAACTATATTTATTGTCTGGTACTAGCTTCTGTTTTTTTTTTTTTGATGACCTGTCTGGTACTAGCTTCTTAAAAACAAAGCCTATGGGCATTTTGATGCTTACTCTAAGGCGTCACCTAAGCAAGACAAACTTGCCACCATGGGTTTCACCTAGCTTTGGGGCTTAGGCACGCATCAAGGGAGCCTTTAACATCACTGTTTCAACCAATTCTACCAATATAAAACATAAGTTGTTCTTCACTTGAGCTTTCTACTGATGATCTTCTATTTGCTTGTTCTGATGAAGGGCAGTGAGTAATTCATATTAAGTGGCTGTTGAAACATTTTTTCATTGCTATCAATTTTGTGGTACACCAAATATACTAATTCAGTTCTTGGTATTGTAAGTATCATAACCCAAAAATGTGATATATTGAGATTTTCCATTTCCTGTTAAATCAGTGAACCAGATCTACCAGCAAGTGGATCAGCCCAAGCAGATGAAAACGGTTTGCCAGTTGCCAACCATGAAGAGGATGATCCATTCTGGGTTTCAGAGGAAATCCCAGGTAGCATCATTACTTGTCTGTTATTTTAGTAAGTGTCCGGACTTCAAACAGCATGATTTATATTGTTCTTTTTGCAGTGGAAGCAAAGAATATGTTGGATGATACGGTATGCAGGGATTCATTCACCCAGTTTGTGAAGGCCCCTGCAAATCTGGTTGTGCTCGAGGGTGACTGCCTGGATGTTACTGGAGATGCTGGAGAACTGGAGTCTTACTTGGTATGTTAGTGTCTGTTTATGTGCAGTTACAGTATGTTTCTGTTATTTTGATTTGTTCTATTATTACTTGCAGCTAGCCACATGTGATCTTTATCGAGATTTTATTCTATTGGACGCATGTGATTCAGTAACAGTGGATGGCTTTCTGGATAGTGAGAATATAGCTGGAAAGGGGCTGAACAATAGTTCAAAGGGCAGTTCCCTAAAATCCAAATACCACAAAAGCTTTTCCTCTCCCACAGGACTTTCTGGGGGAGCTGGCAATAAATCTTCAGCGCGAAAGAATCAGGATGCTAATTTGTATCAGTCTCCGAGGGGTCATGAGTTTGATCCAGTTAATTTAAACAATGATCCACATGAGTTTGATCCAGGCAATTTAAACAATGATCCATTCTCATCTGATATACCTGATAACATTGATGATGCACATGGATATTCAGAACCTAGAGATTTAGATGACTCAGATGATGAAGACCCATGGAAACCCTTGAACCCTCATGAACCAGGCAATTTGAAAGTAAAATCGTACAAAAAAGGTTTCTTAAGCTTCCTTCTCTTTGTTTCCTTCTGTATCCAAGCACTTTATTCTCTAACGAGGTTTCATACTTTCAAGCAGTTAAATCTAATAGAAGACAGGGTGTGGTATCCAGAAAACTTGCATCTTTGGCCACAGAATTTCCGCTTGCAAGATTACATGGTACCATTAATACCGACCTCAACGAGATGTGGGAGAGGAGATGTTGTGCCATGAATAAGCAAGTCGACGCACAATCTCCACCACCATTTGAGAAGGTTAAAATTATTGATAGTTTATTTGTACCTAACTTTTTATGCCTGAATATTTCATTGTATGAAGTTTCTGTTTGCAGCTCCGGGAATCACTTCTTCATGGGGTGAACAACGACTATGATGATTTCTATACCCCAAATGAGAAGAATGAAGATAATGACTATGATAGTGCTGATCACGATTTTGGGCCTCCTGATTTTGACATGCCAGAAAATGCAGACATGAACAACAATGCTACTCCACATGGTGAAAAGGTTAGTAATCTAGATAAGGATGTTTCTCAATACAGTAAAGATCACGTTTCTCTGAAGCTAGCTCAATGTGGCACTATCGAGTTAAAGTTTCTAACTATATTTTATTTTTGCAGCATGATAATTGTGGTCCACTTTTTGATCGTGAAGCTCATGAAGATCTGAATGGTCAAGAAAACCTTGAAGATCTTTGTCGCTCCCACTTGGTAAGAATAAAATTCATTATTTTCATAAAATTATGGATTGTAATTTGTAGGTATGTGTCTTGATATTTTATTCATTTTCCCCTAAATGGCATGAGAAGGGGTTCACTAACATGAACTCTAGACATGCTTATCCGTTACTTAAATTTTGTTGAATCTTCTGTGATTGTCTTGGTGACCTTCTTTCTATTGTAGGATTCTCTTCTTGCTAACCTTGCTGAAACTGAGAAGCAGACTGAATTGGCTGCTCGGGTTTCAACGTGGAAACAGAGAATTGACCAAAACTTGGAGGAACAAGTGTGTTGCATTTTCTAAGATCTCCTTTATTTGTCCTATTTTTCTCTGGCCAGTTCAGATATTTTATCCCTCTAGTGTTTATCCCCAGGAATCGCATCCGCCCTTTGACATTCATGAATATGGGGCAAGGGTTTTGAACAAGTTATCCCTGGAAGAAAATGATAAAAGCACCATGTCCTTTTCTGATGTTGTCAAGGGTTTGGAGAAGCATGACATTGCTCGAACATTTTCTGCGCTTCTGCAATTGGTAAAACCCTCTTTCAACATGAATTTTAGCGACATTAGAGTTATCTACCTTTGAAGATAGAAGTAATATGTTCCTTTTTTTGCTTTTGAAATTTTATCCTATGCCTGAGGCCATCAATAAGAAATGTTCACCTTTTTTCTTTCGCTTTGTTAAAAAAAAATTTGTAGGTAAACAATGGAGACGTTGCTTTGGAAAGAGGTGATGTATGCGAGTCCACTTGTTACACAGCTGCAAATCCCTTCTCTGTTCAACTCCTTAGGCATGGCAACGGTAGGGAGGAAATGCAGTTTCAATCATCAAAAAAGAGAGTGAAATCTCCAATGCACAATCAGAACATCAGAAAGGAAAAGAACAAAGGTAAAGCCGTTCATGCTGCTGTTGATTCATCGCCTTCAGGACCCGATTCAGATAGCAGAGTTCCCCTGAAGCTGGGAAAGGTAAATGGAACAAGATGCACACCTGAAAGCAAGAAAAGAAGGAAGTCCAGAATAGCGTTAGCATCGGATGTGCCTACTGCATTGTAGTAAGACAGAAGATTCACCCCACCATTGTAATTCTCATCGCAAACCAATAACCCGTTGGGTGCAGAAATTTGTAGCATCTGTTTCTTGCTCAACTTATTAGGCCTTAGTGTTATACTTAGCAAGGAAGATGTAACAGTATGTGACATATACTCTTCATTTATCTCTTTGTAGACAAACATGTTGATTAGAGTTACTTGGTGTATGTGCTGGTTGGATATAGCAGGCAACCTATGGATTCTGTTGACATGCGTGCAAACTGGTCCGAACACCATGTTGTTATCAAATGCTAGTAATCTTTTAAGTGCATATTTGTTTGTTGGAGCTACTACATCTGATGTGAGGACCAAAAATATATATTTTAATCATTATTTGTCTCACATTTATTATTTATATTTGTCCTTTTTGAGTATGGATTTTATGAATTGTGCTAAATAGTGTATTTTATTTGTAGGAGTAAATTGGTGTAAAATTGAAGAAGTTTGGAGCTAAAACGAATTAAATATAGATAGTTAAAGAAGGAAATCAAGCAGACAACTTAATGGATTAAACTTTCTAAAATAATATATATGTTAGGTTGAAGTAGAATTGGGAAATTCCACGTGACAATCACTAAAGAGCCGCAACAGCATGTTGAAGGCGGTGGAGCACTGGTTCACGCCAAAATTAAAAAGGAATTCAACTCCTTTATGGTTTTGAATTCCTAATTTGTTTTGGACTTAATTATTTAATTTAGGGTTTTCTATATCTATAAATAGTCCATAAAAATAATTATTTAAAAAAAAAACGAAGATAGAGTAAGGAGGGGGCACTTTTGAAGAGAAAGTCGTCACTACTTTTTAGGGTTCTTTCTTCTTCTTCTTATTTTCTTAGAGATTAGTAGCTAAAACCCTTTTTTTGGGGCTGTAGCTACGGATTCAATGTTGATTATTTAAGGTTTTCGAATTAATTCTTGGTTGTCATTATAAGTTACTTCTATATTTTTGTTTTAGTATTTTGTGCTTGATCACCATGAGATAAATATATTGTCTAATCTTAAAATCAAACGAGGAGGGATTAGATAGACTAGAGGATATAGAGAGCTCGGTCCACCCATTAGATTGAGGTGATTAGTGTTCAGGAGTGACGCCTAGACGAACACCTTGCTTGGTTATGAAATAGGATGAAATATAAATGCTCGCCAGTTAGTTTATCTATCCCCGCTCAACGATGTAGTTAGATGACTAATTGGGGTAGGCGGCGAGAGGCGAACCACCCGGACCATACTATCAACCCTATAAATCAGTAACTTGACAACTGAAATTAATTCTAAGCCAAAAATATGATACATGAAATCCTATACATGCTGCAACACTGAGATTTTCCAACTATTGTAAGTAATTTTATTATTTTGTTCTTGCATTCTTCTCTTTTGGTTCTCTTAACTAAATAAATTAGATCAGTATAATTTAGTAAAAATAGTTAATTGACAAGTCCTTTGGATTCGATAATCTGATTCTCTTAAGAGCCACTATATTACTTGCGCGACCGCGTACAATTGCGTGTGCAATTGGGAGCAACAACATTAAACCAGTAAAATGTTATTGTCTTGCTATTATATTCAAGACATTGACATGGGATGGTGATATTGATGAATGGTAAAGTCGAATACATACTCAAACTAATCGGGCGATTCGACTTAGTACACTTGTCAAATTGTTATTATGAAACCCAAATGGGGAGATTATGATGGGAATAAAAGTGGGACACCTCACAAGTAAGGTTATAGTGGAGTGACCAGTACTCCTTCTGTCCTTCATCATTAATCAAAAGGTCTTGAAGTACGGAGTTGTCTTTGTTAGAGAACGCTTTATCTCTCGATGTGAGGCTTTCTGACGCAAATTTGTATTTAATTGTACTCCAATGTGGATATCAGAATCGAGTGGAAAACCAAAAGGACAAAAAGTGGGACACCTCTTTATCTCTTGATGTTTCGTATCTCAAATAAACACTTTCTATTGTGTCCACAAGTTCTCAAAGGGTACGCAACATAGAGTCTTACATAGTTGCTTTTGATGTAACTTAAACGTGACTCCTCTATAATAAAGTGAAGCAAATAGCTTGGAAAATTCTACCAAGCCTTCCCTACCTATGTCACCTCAATTCATAGAGTTGAAATTGAATTTTCTGAATAAGGATCAGTATTTATCATCTTATTATAAATAACTTTTTTTTTCACCTATTGTTCGATATCTTCATTGTAGGTTTAACAAATTTGTATAAGCGTCTCATAAGACCTTATTTAAGAAAAAAAAACACCTCATTACAATTTTTTTAGGGAAAAATCTTATCTATCCTACCCCCACCTTATTGATTCACAAAAGAATTACATTACTTATTTTCCACAGAAGAATTATCTTTTCTTCCAATAGTATCAATTCCCGTCCCTTTATATTATAGTGTTGGGATAAGATATAATTGTCACACGTGTCAATTACTTTCTTTCCGGTCTAGCATCTAGGTATACGTGTCAAATTCATGCTCACAATTTTTCAAATTTGTTTTTTGTATTTATTCGGTATTCGATATCCACATTGGAGTCCAACTATTTCAAATTTGCACTGTGTAGGACTCCATTCGGCGGAAAGTGCTCCCTATCAAGGATTTTTTCATACCCAAAATTTGAATCCGACACCTTTGATTTAAGAATGAGCAACTTCATCCACGGTATAATCTATTCTAATTCAATATTTCTAGCAACATATTTTCACTTTTTTTTTATAATTGTATTGCTCGAGTTATTTGAAATGTTGTTTTTTTTTCAAAAAGTACTTTCCATCAAAATGAAAAAAAAAAAACTTTTCTTTCATTCTCAAAACTTATTTCTAAATGAAACTAGACGCATTCTACAAATGTGCATAATACGCACTAGACAGATCCGATTTATGAACATATTTGAATTTTTCAAAAGATATACCGACCAACTTAGAATATTACACAATATAACATAATATATAATATTATATGAAATTATAACAGGGAAAACACTATATATAATATGTCAAACTTGTATTATAGAATATAAAAATTCAATTTAGATTTTTTTTAATGACAAGAGAACCTACCGTTAGTATTCTTTGAATGCGCATAGGGTTAATTTCACCCCATTGTAATAGCTTGTAAATCATACCAAAAAAAAAAAACTAAAGTCTAGACAAATCCCATAAAATAAACTCGATAAAAAGTCATGTAGAAGTTTTGAACCCGAGACCCCTTGTTCGACCATCCTTACGGGTAGTCAAATTGAACTTTGCAAAGTAATTTTTTCATGTTTTTGATGTGATATTTTCATTGGTAGATTCTTTGTCGACTATATCAAATATATTTTTTTAAAATATAAATATTAAATTTGAGCAAAAATTATTAGGTTCGATTAGAAATTCACAATCATTATTGTAGCTCCGGCCCTAAATGCCGTATTCATTGAATTGACGTAAACATACATAACTTTTTACGTACCCCAACATTTAGCCTATGTGCAGTATATAAATATCCCAAAAGAGTACCAAAAAATATTGAACACACAAAAATCTCATTCTATTTTTTTCGTCAAAAAAATTAATTTCATCCGAAATGGAGGAATATGACTTTGATCATAAAATAGTGGAAGTAAATGAGATAAATATGCATGTTGTTGAAAAAGGACAAGGTCCTTTTGTTCTATTCATCCATGGATTCCCAGAATTATGGTATTCATGGAGGCACCAAATATCTTTCATGGCTAAACATGGTTATAGAGCTGTGGCTCCTGATCTTCGTGGTTATGGTGATACCACAGGTAATGAAAAATCTACGCCTTATTCTATACGAAATATCTTAATTTTACCCTTCGTTATACTTTGAAATCGTTCATGATCTTGGTCATTAATTAGCATATCGTCTCGTAATAGTAATGCCAACATACTTCCTGTGGCAAGGTCCACGAGGGAGTTGGGTGGCCTAGGTTGGAGTCATGATTGAATATGACTGTTTGCTTGGTGGACTAATTAGTTAAGAAATTAACTTTTGTTTTTGCTATTTGTTATAGTTTTTGACATGATGGTAAGAACTTGATAGTTCATAACAAGTAGAGTCAGGATGTATGTAGACTTTACCCGTACCTTGTGAGAGGTAGATAGGTTGTTTCTGACGAACCCTCGCTTAAGAAAAAACAATTTGGAAGCAAGATTGATGAATACAAGAGTAAAAGCTATGGTGAAAATGTCGTAGGAAAGAAAATACTGACAACAAAATAGATCTAGAGGGTAATTCTAAATCTAGATCTTTTTCACAAAGTATTTTGACACGTAAAATTCACCCCGTTCGTCTAGGTCTCTTCGTTAACGTCAAGGGCAAATATAATACCATTTGGTAACAACAACTAGATACATAAATTTTTACTCATACCTTAGATATGTATATGAGAAAAATTAGGGAAAAGACTCAAAAATACAAATTACTATATTATTTTACCTTCCATTATATTTCAAAGTCACTTTTACCCATAGCTAGAACTAGAGAGGGATATATGTGGAATTTTTTTTTCCGAAGTATTTTGACACATGAAATTCATCCAATTCATGTTGAAGATCCATTAAGGTCATGAACAAATATAACAGAAATTACTTCAACAAGTGTATGATTTATTAAGGAACCATAGTATAACACAAGGTAAAATTAAGATATTTCGTATCTTAGTATTATTTTTACTCTTTTAACTACTACATACTATGTTGAACTTATCAAGTTTAAATTCTGAATCCGCCTCTTCTGACAGGAGTGCCTAAAGATGATCCAAGCAAGTTTAGCTCATTAAGAGTTGTGGGTGACTTAGTGGAACTTTTGAATACCATTGTGCCTGAGGAAGATAAAGTGTTTGTTGTTGGCCATGATTGGGGTGCTATTATTGCTTGGAATCTTTGTTTATTGAGGCCAGACAAAGTTAAGGCTTTGGTTAATATGAGTGTGCCATTTTCTCCTAGGAATCCTAAGAGAAAGCCAATTGAGTCATTGAAGGCTATCTATGGTGATGACTATTATATTGTTAGATTCCAGGTTCACCTCTTTGCTTCCTTCTAATACTTTACTTTTATATGTTTCGTTACATGTTTTTTGATGCACGAATAGAGACGGATTCAAGATTTTAAGTTAACGAGTTTTAGGTACTCGATG